ACTTGTTAGAACATTACAATTCCTATCTTTAACAAACCTAACCTGCTGCACATCCTTTCCAGCCTGATCCCCCTGTCTCACCAATCGGTACAAGTCCTTATCGTCCTCTTTAGTGTCCAGCCTCCCATTAAACAACTCATCATATGTCTTCTGCTTTTCCCTTACCACCTCTACATTGCATCTCCTTATGTTCCTGTCTCCTTTCTTCAGTCCTCTCGTGTAAAACATATGTAATAACATAATGTAAAACTTTACAGCCGACTCTTTTGTTACTATTAATAAACAAATGATTACACTTACTAAACTATTTAAAAAAGTTGTTTATTGTAATTATTATATTTACATTTATTTATTTATTAGCTTCAAATATCAATAATTTATTATAGACCAATGAAAGAGCTGCTAAATGTATTTTGATACAAATAAATACAAAATTTAAAATGTAAACTAGTGTAATTAGTTTATTGTGAACAGTTAAAATGCTTTAAAGTTTGTTCCTGCGTAATTAAATCTTAAACGAAAAATTATGAATCAATCATCTTAAATAATTAATACAATTTTTAAGGTGAAACAATGAAGTTGTAGGTTATAAATATAAATATATTTAGGCTTGGACAACAAATCTTTTTTATACTTGAGTAGAGCTGGTTAATCAAATTAATCGATGAGTGTTGTTTTTTCAACAAATACAATTAAATTTATTTGAATTTACTCTGTAAAAGTTAAACATTTCAATGGGGGGGAAATAAATTAATAGTAAAGTAAGTACTTAATGTGTCTTTTATGTTGATCTTGTTGAAATAATGAAAACTTTTCATTTTCATGCTGACAGGACTGACATGTTTAGTACGAATAAAATGCACTGAAACTAAATAAATCCTTAAATCTGAAAGAAATCAGTACAAATGTGTCAAAAAGAGTTGGATGCATTTTAATTTTATTCATCAAGTAAATTTAGTAATAGTTAGATTTTCACCAAAACAACAAATGAATTCTTTAACAAACTCTGTATGTTTGTGTTCTGCAGACATGTTTCCATTTAGGTTCTTTTATGTGTATATTTTTTAATAAATTTAGCTCATTGCAGAGTCCAAACATGAACACAGGGAGACTGTTTGTGTGGGTTAAACCCTCAGGTTGACTAAAAGCTCCTTCATTCATAGCCGAGCAGCTCTGATGTAAAAAGACAACATTTGATCTTTGACAGGAAACGGAGAGGAGTCCTCCGCTCCATCTTCAGCCACTTTTCCATGTCAGCAGCTTTCTCTCAGCTTCAGAACGACGAAGATGAAGCTCCAGATTTCGACGCGTCACGATGTGACGGTATTAAAGTCTATTCTTTAATCCCAGAGTGATGCTGTGTTCATCATGGACACGGTGGTTCAGTGTTTGCAGGACGCGTCCTGTGAGGTGTTTCATACTGGCTCTGTTTTTATCTCTGGAGAGGAGCTCGACCATAAATCACAGTAAATGCTGGCGTACTTACAACAAATTACTTTCAGTACGCAGAGCCTGCCTGGCACCGAGGTATTTGACAACTGCTCGTGATTTTCCTGCAGTGAGTGGGAGTCGGCTCACGAGCTGCAGACTCAAACATCACACTCCTCGCACAAAACGTACTTCACTTCTCAACTTATTTTTATATCGGAAAGAAGCCACGAATGCAGCGGGCTGGGCTGAACTGTCTCTGTTCTGAGAAAAAGGCAAAAATAAATATTAATAGCAGTTTTCTGATTATATATGTGGCCACTTTTAAGTTTGTTGAGATGTTTCAACAGCTCAAAACGTTCAGCTCATCCAGGACATTCCTGCTGTGACTTTTGGTTTTTGAGCATCTTTTTGATATATTTATCTTTGTCGGCCATGTTTTTCTCATTGAAAATGAACGGAGCTCTCTTCACATCCTTCAAAATCTTTTTGCCTATTTCCACGTTTTGTGAGTCTTTCAAATAATGTCAGCTTTCTTTTTTCAGCTTTTTGTGCTAAATTCAACTTTTTATGCTCCTTTCAGCTTCTTTCTGCTAAATGTGACATTTCCTGCTATTCAACAACTTTTAGGTATTTTTCTGATCATTTTCTGCTTTTATTTCTGCTAATTTCCATCTTTTGTGATGCTTCAGAAAATTTCAACTTTTTATGCTCCTTCCACTCTCTTTCTGTTGATTTCAGCTTTTTCAATCTGTTTCACCTATTTTTGTTGTTGTTGCCAATTTTATTTTTGTTTTTTCTATAATCAATTCAGCCTCTTTTCTACAAATTTCCTTTACTTTTCTGCTTCTTCGTCCTGATTTCAGCAAATGTCAGCTGTTTAACTTTAACTCGCGTCAAAGTTCAGTGATGAATCTTTTTCAGCTGGTTTCAGCAAAAATCATCCACACTGCATTTTCACACAGGAAATGCAATTTCACAATTTTTTCCAACTGTAAGCATAATGTAGCAAAATCTTTTTATTTCTAATTTCCAGTTGAATTGACGCATACAAAAGTTTTCTAATAAAAACTTTTGTATTTTCTCCAAAAAACCCTCTAAATTACCAAACTTTTTTTTTCTGTCACTTTATATCAACACATTTCATCATGCAGGTTATTAGGAGTCATCTGCACAAATAAAACCCAAGACAAAAAAATAAAAATAATAATGCTGTATATTTACTTAGTAAGACCGTTGAGTTTTAGTTTTTTAGGTGCACCTCAACAGAAACTACACCGTCTCACAGAACACTAGTTGTTTTGTGAAACAACCTCAATTTAAAATAAATCGCAGCAACAAGGTCCAAAACAGGTTTGTTTCAGAGTTTATTTAGGAGAAAAAGCAAAAATCCTCACATTTACTGTTGGATTTATTCATTTTATTATAATGATACAGATGGCAAATTACAGCTCATTAATTACAGCAATTAAACATTTTATTCTGATTTCCCCTGATTGTAAATTATAGATCTCTCACAGAAAGTTTGAGTTAAATGTCCCACCTGTTTAGGTGGTAGAAAACCTCAGCTCATGTTACTGAGCAGGAAAATGAACAGAAATGTTTCTGTAGAAAATAGTTTTAGTCCTCGTCCATCTTTCTTCCTCTGACTTTATTTCACTCAGTAAAAACACAGAGGATGTGCTGTTCAGCTGTGGTGCGTTCACTAACTACCAAGTAGACTGAGGTGCCATTTAGCTATGTTGTGTTCATGAGCCCGAATCAAAATTGGATTTCTGGGTTATAACTAACAGGTGATTTCCGGTCATCAGATGTTTTTTAGTGCAAGAAAAAGTTTGTCAAATATTTACAGATGATTAACAATCCAGACAGATGCGCTTGGTTGCTCAACAGGATTCATGATGGCTGCTACAGCTAATCAACATTAGCCACCACGTCTTTTAAAGAAGTTATTATTGCCATACGCTCAGGCCCATTTCTAAATTGTCTTTTATTTATAAAACCCTAAACTAAGTACAAACCGGATTCCAAAAAAGTTGGGACACTAAACAAATTGTGAATAAAAACTGAATGCAATGATGTGGAGGTGCCAACATCTAATATTTTATTCAGAATAGAACACAAATCACAGATCAAAAGTTTAAACTAAGAGAATGTTTCATTTTAAGGGAAAAATCTGTTGTTTCCAAATTTCATGGCATCAACAAATCCCAAAAAAGTTGGGACAAGTCCATTTTTACCACTGTGTGGCATCCCCCC